ACGCAGGAGCAGGTGAACACACCGACGGTGCACTTTTCAACCTCATTGCCGTATCAAGGGTCTGCCAGGAGCGCAGGGAGGGCGTCCGGCCCACCCACACGCCAGAGGACGGCCCGGGCGTTCTAACGCTGAAGGCTTACCAGGGTTTGCAGCAGTTTCGCAAGTTCAACCCCAGCGTTTTCACCACTGCGAGCGGCCACGCGTTGTGCCAGCTGCCGCCAAGTTTGCAAGGCTACCGGCGCCTAGCCGCCGCTGGCAGCCTCAGCGATTAGGGGCACGAACTGGAGGCCTTCTCCAGCACAGGTGGCGGCCGTCTGCAAGTGAGCCCGCTTGCGAGCTTCGTAGTTTTCTGCAGCCCGGACCCCTGTTGCTGCAGAAGCAGCCACAGCCCCTTGTCGTAAACCAGATGCAGCAACCAGGTCAAATGCGGACTACCACCGGCTTGCACACCGTCTTCAGGGGCACCGGTAAAGTCCAAGCGAGGGGGCAGAAGGCCACCTTTTTCGACGACAGGGTTGAGGCCACCAGCTTGAGCTCGGGCAGCCAGGATGGAGCGCAAACGATCTCCACCACAAGGGCAAGCTCGAGCATGGTCACCCATGCGATCAGCAACCGCATTGCATAGGGGGCAAGCGACATCTTCTGACGCAACCGGCAGCCGCAACCGAAGGCACACCATGATGCGGAAGAGGCTCGCAAGAGCTTGCAAGAGTGGCTTGCTTGCATCAACCCGTTGAGATTGGGTGTGAGCCGTGCAATAACCACTGCTCCCAATGGCAGCCGCCAGCAAAGTGAAAGCGCCCGACCGGTCAATGCTAAGCCCTGCAGGGAAGCTGGAGGGAGCAACCAGGCCGTCATGCGACATGGTGATCAGCTTGCATTTGGTCGCATTCAGGGCCAACCCAACTTGCCACGCCGCCGCAGTCAATCGGGCCAAGGCCGTGCGGAGCTGAGGCAGGGTGCCCGCCAGGCACACGTCATCCAAGTATGCAAAGGCAAGTTCCGGCTGCTGGTCCCATGAGCCGGAGCGCACAGCCCGCAAGGCAGGTTGCAAAGCCAGAGACAACAGGAGCGGCCCCAGCGGATCGCCTTGCTGCACTCCTGCTTCTGAAGTCAGCGGCTCCCCATCAAACAGCAAGCGGCTATGGTGCCCATAACACCACTCAGCATAGGGGGCTATGCCGGGCAATCGGAGGCGGACTCCCCGCAACATGGCTGCCCGATCCACACTATTGAAGGCATTCTTAAAATCAATGGTGAGGAAAGCTTTGTTGACATGCCGAGAATTGCGGTGGAACTAGTGGCGGGCAGTGTGCACAGCGGCTTCTGCACCAAGGGAGACAGCTACTCCAAGTTGCAGGGGGGAGAGCCATCGCTGAGCAGGTTCGCGGACAGCCTGGCAGAGGCACTTGGAGGCTAAGCGGCGCAAGGTTTCACCAACAGCGATGGGCCGCACATCGCCCCCGTATTTGGGCAGGGCGTGGAGAGCAGCGCCAGCCAGGTGTGGGGCAACTTCCAAGGGGGCATCTCCCCGCACCAAGAGTTGCACCACTTCGGCTAAATGGGCAGCAACCTCGTCTCCATGAGCTGAACCTAAGGCTTCTCGGAGATGGTCTCCCCGCAGGACAGACGGCCCAGCAGCACTGCCACGTCGAAAGCTGCGAGCCGCTGCCACCACGTCGGCCGCAGCGATGTCAGGGACGTCGGTGCGCGCAGGGGGCCCCAAAGGCAGTAAAGCAGCGCGAGCAGGTTGCGCTCGAGGGTGCTTGGCCCGCAGCTTGTCCAATACCTCGGGTGAATGCCGGATCAAGGGTGGGGCAACCAGGGCTGCACACGCACGGGAGAGCTCGCCTTCGGCAGCAAGTTGGCGGAGGCCTCATCCTCACTGGTCCCGGCACGTCTCTTGCCTTCTAGGGATACATATGTCTTAATGATAATAATGATAATAATGTTCGTCATCGTCGTCGTCGTCGTCGTGATCGCAATAATAATTAAGGAAAATTAAGTAATAAATCAATTGACACCACCGTAGACCCTAAACAATTGTCTTTTTTAAATATCGGAGTATTTTATAATTGGAATTTGCGACGGGAAACAAAGGATTGAAGGGTAGGGGCGGCTATAGCAATTTAAAATTGGGAGATAAATGTAGATATAGGGAGACAATTGTAAAGGATTGCAAGCGACATGTAGCCTAGAGTTGGGTGATAAATAAAGGATTGCAAGAGAGGCGGATATAGCAATCTAAAGCTGGGAGACAAATGCAAAGGCTTGCGAGGACACATATAAAGGATTATTAGGTAGAAATGGATATAATATTTAAAGCTGGAAAACAAATGTAAATTTAAGGCTTGCAAGGCAGAGGCGGATACAGCAATCTAGTACTGCGAAAGAAATATAAAGGATTGCAAGGTAGGCGGACACAGCAGCCCAGAATTGGGGCGGACATAGCAATCCAGAGCGGGAGACAAATGACAATATAAAGGATTGCAAGCGATACGTAGCCTAGAGGTGGGAAATAGATGTAATATTGCAGGGCAGAAGGATTACAAGCGAAAGGGGGAGAAAGGAGGCAAAAAAAGGAAAGAAGGAAGACAAGGCGGACACAGACCAATAAGAAGGGGGACAACAAGGGAGACAAAAAGGGAGGCAAAAGGAAATAAAAGGGAGACAAGACGGACACAATGCCCAACAAGAAGGGAGACAAGACCGCAAACAAAGGAAGACAAGGCGGACACAATGACGACGCAATGACCAACAAGGAGGGAGACAAAAGCGGAGGCAAAGGAAGACATGCGGACGCAATGACCCACAAGAAGGGAGACAAGAAGGCAGACGGACGCAATGACCAACAAAAAAGGGAAACAAGAAGGGAGACAAAAGGAATCAGAAGGGGGACAAGGCGGACACAATGACCCACAAGAAGGGAAACAAGACTGGAGACAAAGGGAGGCAGAAGGGATGAGGCGGATACAATGACCAATAAGAGGGAAACAAAAAGGAGACAAGATAAAAGATAATAGAAGGGAGACAAGACGGACACAATGATCGTGGACGGAAGATGGGTGTGGATGGGGCTGTGGATGGAATAGGGAGGGGCGCAATACGGGAGGCGCGAGACGGGAGGCGCGTGGGTGTGGATGGAGCTGGGGAGGGAAGAAGGAGGGGAGCGAGACGGTGGAGGGGCGTGGACGGGGCTGAGGATGGAAGGAAAGGGGCGCGAGATGGGAAGCGTATGGGTGTGAACGGAATTGGGAGGGGAAGAGGGAGGAACGTTGGGAAAGGAAGGGAATAAAAAAGAATATGTTTGATTGTTTTCTTGGTGCCTATTTCGAAATAATTGGATTATTTTGGAATTTTCGTAATTTTTTTTGGTCAAAATAGGATATTTATTCGATTCTTCTGAGATGTGGTGCAACATTGCACATTGCAGAGGCTTATATACAGGTGAATACATATTATATTTTACTTACTGTACCAAATATTTATATCCATATACAATTACATATGTAACCATATTTAACATTTAATTTACAATTAAAATTTCAATTTAATTAAAAATTTTTGTTAGCTAGATTTATCATCTAATTTTGAGTTTGGGTGATGCCAATAATCGTTCCATCTTAGGTCCCACCTCACAGATTACAATATTGTTTATATTTAATTTCAATCCCATATTTGCCCAAGTGTGTCTCTAGTTGTAGCCTTCTTATGATTGGTAAGAACGGCTGTGAAGTAGTCTATATGGCCTCGATACCTTTGATGCTTGGGCTAAAGCCCCGAAAAGCCTATATGATCCGATATTTGCGTGTTATTCGAGATGCGAGATTTAAGATCCGAAATTCGGAATCCGAATTCCGAGCTTCGAGGTACGAGATTCTAGACTCGAGATTCGAGAGATTCGAAACGCGAGATCCGAGATCTGAGCTTCGAGATCCGAGATCCGAGCTTCGGGATTTGAGGTCCGAGATCTGCGATTAGATTCGAGATGCGAGATCCGATAATCGAGGTTCGAGGATCCGAGAATCGAGATTCGAGATGTTAGATTCGGAATTCGAAATACGAGATCCGAATCTCGGGAGTCGAGAACCGAATGATTAGAATCGAAATATGAAATTCGATATTCGAGGCTTTGGAATTGAAATTCGGAATTTGACATTCGAGATTTGAGATTCGCAATACTTGCGAGATTCGAGATGGGAATTTTGATATTTGAGGTTCGAAATATGGGATTCGGAAATTAGAATCGAAATTGATTATTCGAATTCCAAAATTTGAAATTTACAACGACAAAATACCAAATTTTAAATTCGAAGAATGGAATTGGAAACTTGAAAAATCGATAATTAAGATTCGGAATTCGATATTCGTATTTTTTTGGGAATTGGAAAATTATTTCTATATTTGATTCTATTTTCTATTAGGATATAGATATAAAATATTTTTTATATTCGAATATAATTTTTTTGTTATTATGATATAGATATAAAAGTAATATTAATATATAAGAATATTTGCAATGCAAACAACCATTTATTAGGAATAATTAATCGAATAAGGGTAATCATATAATTATTGAAATATATTATATGAATGTATTTCGTTGAGATTTATTATTTACTTTGTATTCTCGGGGAATTATATAAAATATTGTCGTAAAGGACGATTTTAAATATTTTCGATTTTAATTTATAATACTATTTAAATATACGATATTAACTATAAAGATTTAAAAAGAAATCATTTAAATATTTCAAATATATATTTTTGGATTATTTTTTCTTCCAAGATTTATTAATATAACATAATTTTATATTATTGATCTATTTATATATATATTTAATTAAGATCTATTTTATTCCTTTAATATGTTCAAAATATCTTTAAAGATATTTTCATAAATATTTTAGACAATATAATAAAATAAAATATCTTCAAGAAAACTATCTTCAATCTTTCCTTGTGGATTGATGTTGCGTTAAGTGTTTTGAACTCTAGCCATGGCGCCATCGCCGGGGGCCCCCGTTGGCGGGGAACGCCCGCGCCGAGCGGTACCTGCAGCAGCCTCTGCTTCTGCCGCATCCGCGGCGCTTGGCGATCAGCCCATGGATCCTGAGGACATTGACATGGAGGCGGTTTCCGCTCCCAGCGAAGGCCGATACTTTTGCCCTTTGCCCGGTTGCATCGCCCATGGTGCTTCTGGCCATGCGGGTTGGGAGAGCTTGCAGGCTTAAAAGCCCACATGGATGCCCATCAACTTGGGTGCTTCCTGGCGCTCCGCTTGAGGCCTGGCTGCGGACACACCAACTGGTCGGCTGCCGCGAGTGCTCTCGTCTCGTCAATCGTCGACGCAACGGTGGAGTGCATCGGACCTGCATGGCGGCTCGGCTCTCTGCCCAGCCTGCAGCCCCAATGGCTGCTGATGGGGCCGCTGGACTGTCTGATGCTCTGTTGGCTTCCCTCCCCTCGTTGGATGAAATCTTTGCGGCTCCTGTGGCTACCCGCGACTTTGTGGCTGCTGGGCTGCTTCCACAGGCTCGGAAGGAATTCCTCCGATGCGTTGCCAATGTCCTTCAACATAATTGTCTGGATGATTGGGAGCGGGACATTATGGCTACCAGACGGTGCCGCCTGGCTTGGACCGAACTTTTTATATTTCCTAAGACTTGCCTGCCAGTACTCCCTGGCGGCCGGGCCAAGGGCCGCCGCAACCACAATGTGATCATTAACCGTCTCGAGCGATGGGGCTTGGGAGAACGTCGGGCGCTCTGGGATGAAGCTGTTGGCAAACCTCGCCGCCCACGCGGCCATATCTCCAGCCTTGAAGAGCGGCAAGTTACTGCCGCCGTCCAGCTTGCCTGCCGTGGGATGCCGGGCAAGGCTATGCAGCGCCTCAGCGGTGCTCCTGTGGCCGAACCCATTCCTGAGATTGTGGCCGCGATGCGCAACAAGTTCCCACCTCGACCTACCCACCAACACTCCTCCTCTCGCCCACCGGCGCCTCCAGCCAATGAGGTCTCGGTTGAGGATGTGATTGGGGCCGAGAAGCCCTTTCTACGTGGTGCTGCCCCCGGCCCGACTGGTCTCCGCCCTGACTTCTTGAAGCAGATCGTTGGCGATGGCGGGGATGTACTTCCTGGTGCTCACCTTCTGACCAGCCTTATAAACCTATTTGCTGATGGCCGCGCGCCTGCCCCTCTCCGCCTATACCTTGGCGGAGCTCAAGGCACAGCCTTGGAGAAAACTTCCAAGACTGGCCAATCCGATGTGCGGCCCCTTTGTGCTGGAGAAGCTCTTCGGCGGCTTGTTGGAAAGGTTTTGCTTCGGTCTGAATTGCCGGTCCTACGGGAGAACCTCCTGCCCTATCAGCTTGCTGTTGGAGTGCCTGCTGGCATTGAGGTCATGCCCCACCTCCACCGGCAATGGCAAACCACCTTTGCCGCCGATGCAGACCGAATATGCTTATCCTATGATGAAAGCAATGCCCACAATGTTCTTGACCGTCATGCCTTCCTCATTCGCATGCATGAAGTTGTTCCTGGAATCAATCGATGATTGGAATACATCTATCCGACACACCAGGCCACTAAGGTGTTTTTCCACAACGTGATCATTGACTCTGTGGCTGGCGGACAGCAAGGCTGTCCCTTGATGATGGCGTGCCATGCCGTGGTTCAGCGCATGCTCCTGGAGTCGCTTGGTTTGGTGCCCCCGCTTGTTGGGAGCAGTGTCTCCGTGCCGGTGTTGCGCACCCCTGTCCAGTTGGATATCGCGCCTTGTTTTGCAGACGATGGTCTTCTGGCTGGTCCCTCCGGCGAAGTCCTCCGTGCCCTCCAACATTGGCAAGGCGTGTTACCACAATTGGGCCTTCGGCTTTCCAGTGCTGTTGTTGCCCCAGCTGCCCCCTTCAGTCACGTTGATTTTCAGCCCTTTCTCTCACTTGGTTGTCATATTGCTCCTGAGGGGAACTATGAGGTGTTGAAATCCCCCAGTGGCTCTGATGCGTACTGCCGGGCCTTCTGCACAGAACGAGCCGACCGGCAGATTGCTCTGTTGCAGCGATTGCCTCACCTTCCTGATGTGCAGAATGGATACTACTTGATGCGCTGATCTTGTGCGGCAGGACGCGTGCAATACCTGTCCCGCACGACGCCCAATCGCTGGTGAGGCCATGCCTTGGAAGCCTTCGACCCCGCTATCCATGACACCTTTTGCGAGATGACTGGATTGACAACTGATGCGCTGGCATGGGAGCAGGCCACTTTGCCTGCCTCCTCTGGTGGATTGGGCCTGCGCTCCTCTGTTCTTCTTGCTGACGCTGCCTACATTGGATCCCGCCATGCAACCTTGGAATGCTGCGCCACGCTGTGGCCTTTGTTCTGCTGGGATGGAGGGCTCCCTGGCACAGACCTACATGCGACTTTGGAGCGTTGTCGTGCTTCCATCGCAGATGTTGGCTTGCAATATCCTCTTGGTACCCAACCCAGTACCCAGATGACCCAGAGTTCACTGAGCGCTCAGCTCGGTGCCGCCCAGTGTGTTCGTTGGCTGGCCCGCGCCAACAATGATGATGCTTGTCGACTACATGCCTATTCTGCAGACGGTGCTGATGCAGCTTTGGGCCTTGTTCCCTTACATGCGCTTGACACTTCTTTATTTCGAGATGATTTTCTTGCTTTGGTTGGAGGTCACCTTGGAACCTATATGTTGGGGCGGTCCTTGCCGCTTCTGTGGTCGGATCATGGATTGCAAGGGCCGGCATGCCTTGAATTGCATGAATGGGAAAGATAATGTTGTTGTATACAATGCAACCCGAGACCTTTTATACGATTATTGTCAGCGTGCGCAGGTTCGCCCCCAATTGGAGGTTCCCGGCATTTTGCCGGGTCGCCGTCGACCTGCTGACATATTGGTGCGTGGCGCCGCGGGGCTTTTCCCTCGCCTGCCTGATGGATCTCGGCCACATGGACTGGCGCCTCTTGCTTTGGAGGTCGCGGTTATGAATGCTCTTGGCGAGGGTTATTGGGATGAGACCCGCCGTCACAGCAGCGCAGCTGCCTCTGGCTACGCTGCTCGGAAGCGAGTGCATAACCCCACTGCTACCGCCTGCGACCAAATTGGAGCTGTTTACCTCCCTCTGGTTTGGGAAGCCCAAGGCGGCTGTATCAAGGAAATCCGGGCCTTCCTTCATCAACAAGGTTCGTAGCTGTCGTTAAAGGTTGCAATCCTGATACCGCGCGGGCTCGCCTACACGATCAGCTTGCCCGTGCCGGTGGGCGGGTAATGCGGCGGCGGCAGATTGGGCCTCCTGGCGGGACTAATGCCAAATATGCTGTGGATGAATTGCTTCTTAAAATTTAAGGCCCTTCATTCATGGCATTTGGGAATTTCATATTGGTTAGTGGAGGCCTCGGTGCAAGTCAATTTTTAGCCTTGATGTTTAATTATTATCCTGGCTAACTTCGATTTGGTGGCGATGCCTCTACTAATGGTTCTTAACGAACCTCTTATCTCCGTATATTCCGTCATGCTTTTATTAATCTCCCTATAATCTAACATTCCGTTTCTTCTATAGCTCCCTACAACGCCTCCTCAGTGATATCCTTTCTTTTCCATTTATATCACTTTTTGGTTACCGCGCACAAACGTAACAAATTTATTCAAATTAAAATAAAAATATTTGCATCAAACATAATATTACAATATTAATCGTAAAATTCTCGCACATAATCCGATATCAACATAAAATTTCGACGACCATTAATTTTTAATAAATACCGCATCTCGACATTTACTACACTAATTTCACAACACTTCACCATCTCGATACTCGCAAAATTATTTATATTCACATACAATCCAACGCCCCGACACATTATATAATCGTAAAAATAGATTATATTCGCAATACTATATAATGAATGCGAAATACCAATATCCACAAAATTCATACAACAATAAAACCAACAAAAAAATATCATTCCAAACATAAAATATATAATATCAAAATATCAATCCAATATCATCATCGTTTAAATAGCGGCGAACGAAAACGATAACGACGCCACGACGATCATAAAATCGCATTCCTAAAAAAAGAATAATAATATGCCCTTTTCCCTAATTAATACCACTTCAACTCGGTAAAGAAAAAGAATCTTTTCATTTACTTCATATAAAATAAGAATAAAAGCCATTTATAAATTTATAATTTTATTCGTTTTAATTTAACCCATTTAATCGTAAAATATAAATTCAATTAATTTCCTTCGGAAATCGCTTTCGTAAATTATCATTAAAATAAATCCAAAATACCAATCCAAAACCGACACTTACGTTTACCTCAATACGACAAAAACACCAACAAAACCAAAATTCCAATTCATAATCCCGTTCTATACCGCCACCAATACATACAAAACCAAAACACCAATTCAAATCCAACACCAATATCAACACGACAACAACACAAAATCAAAACGCCAATCCAGAGCCAACACCTACACCAACATCAACACAATAACAACACCCGCAAAACCAAAACGCTGCTCCAAAACAAATTAAAAATCCCTATAGCCTACCACCATCTAAGAACATGTTGTATTATACAAAATTATGTTATATATTATATTATCTTATATTATCTTATATTATACTATCTTTTTTTAGCTTATCTTATTTTATATTCAATCATTCATTCATTCATTCATTCATTCATCTGCCAGCGGTCGCGTTCGATCCGCCCGTGTTGGGCCGCACAACTACGTGTGCTTCCTTCTAGAGGATCGGAGGCCCATCAAGGTGCTTGCATCATCCTAGGTGCTCGGAAATGAGTGTACCGAGTGTGGCCCCAGGAGGCCATGGAATCGGTCGACGAAACTCGGTACGTAGTTCAGCCATGGGGGCTGCCCAAAGTAGGTAGATGTTCTCATAGAAGGACAAGTCTCGAGTGAGGCGTCGTGGCCTGCAATTGTCGTCACACAGGAGGCCGGTTCCAGAGTTGAACAAAACGGCCTGGTAGTGGCCATCAACAGGAGTACTCCCGATGTGAATGACACCGGCCACAATCTGGTACTCCGTCCAAGTGATTGTAGCCATCGAATAGCGGTAGCTGGATGCTGTTCCGTTCCCATGTGATGGCCTGACAGTGGCGGTGGTGCAACCTCGGATGTCGTTCCAGTTGCAAACAAACCCAAGAGCTGGCTGTTCTCAGCCCGTTCAAAAATGGTCCTTGGTGATGCCACGGTTGGATCACCTCTTGCAAAGGCGTGTGAACCTCAGGCAAATCACGAAGCGCAATGGGTGCAATGAGTGAACCGCTGTCTTCAGTGGTGGTGAACAGGCGTGAATCCCATGCGTGGATCGTGAGGAAACCTCCAGGCATCAGCTTCTTTTCAAACATCTGAGCTCTCATCCAGCTTGCAAACTCACCTGCGTCATGTTGCGCAGTGATGGCATGAGAGGTGAACCACTCTGTGAGCATGCTACCTGAAAACGAAGCTTGGCATGGATTGCGAGCCTCCCCAGCATGTGTCGTGAACATGCGCAAAATCGGCTGCGTCCATGCTCCCCAAGTATCAAGCTCGAGCGAGTTCGTCAAAAGAGTAGTCCATACCTGAGCCAACAATGTGCTGTTCAGGTAGCACGTGGATCCTGTGCTCATGAGGCTTGTCGTCATGATGCCTCTCAGGACTTGCGCAATCTGTGGGAGATTGCAACCGCCAGCGGCGATCTCTGCAGCGTCGTCTGCCTCGTCCGCATAAGGATGAGCTGAGTGATGCCGTTGCCGGCCAACTTGAGCAGGAGCATATGTAGCTCTTGAGCTTCCGGGCCTCTGAGGCTCACGTCCAGCCTCCAAGGGATGGCTATGGCTGCATCTTGCGGCAGGCTGTCCTGGTTCAAAGGTCGTAGGGCTGCAAACTTCAGCACCAGGTTGGGGTTTTCTCCCAACTGATGGATCCGACGAAGAGTCTGACATACATCTTCGGACGTCAGGGGTGTCTTCTGATTTGGCTGTAGTGCCTTGGCCTCCGGGTTCCATGACAGGTATTGCCACTTGAGATCTTCTGTCTAGATGCCCTTTGCTTTCAGGCCCTGGACCAGTGCGTCGTCTTTTGCCGCCAGGTTCAACTTGCCAGCTCTGGTGATCAACTCGGTGAAAACAGCCTGGAACATTGTCTGGCGGAGAGATGTCGTGACCTTCCCGCCCTGCTTCTGAGCGTTCCATTTCTTGCCCAGCTCGAGTAGGGATGGCATCAATGATCCCTTTCCACATTGGAGGAAGAGCATCAGGCTTCGATCCAAACCAAGCTGGTTCAAAGTGTCTTCCTGACGGAGAAGCAGGCGTCCTAACATCCGAATCAAATCCCCATCTCTCCTCTCGGAGGTGCTCGTAGATGAGGTCGAGTTCCGTTTTCGCTGCTCTCGGCCACTCTTCTGGGGGCCTGTGGACGATGTCTCGTGTCGTGGCCTTTTGAAGCCTTCTTGGCAAGCTGTCAACAAGTCCTGGAAGGATTGACCGTCTTCCGTCTGGTGCAGGTCCATCTTGTGCAGTCGTGATCGGCTGGTGCAATTCGTTTTGGGCCAGGATCTGTGCAAGTTGGCCAAGGACATGTTGAATGAATGCAAGTTGATCACGTGTACACTCATGAACTGGATCTGCGTGCCACTGCTGTTGAGGAATGCAATCTGTGTCCAAGGTCCAGGCCCATGCTATGGGTGGATGATGGCCAAGTACACGAATCATGGCAAATGCCTGATCAGTCACGAAATTGGTGTGTGGCATCTCTGGAAAATGCGAAAGCCAATCTGTCGTGTATCGAAACCAGGCCACACACTGCAGCGGTGTCCAACGTGGTGTGTACAGCATTGGGAACCAAAGACTCACAAGGTCAAAGGTCGGACATGGCTCTGGATCATACTCACGGCCTGCCTGACTGAGGTCGAAGTACCTGTGCAACAGGGTTGGAAGAGTGTGGTCAACCCCCAGTTTCATGGGAACTAGCTCGGACACGGTCGTGGTGCCGAAATGCTGAGCTTTGGCCCGTTGACACATCAGGACCGGACAGGAGCCTCGTTTAAAGTGCGTGATCAAAGCTTGTTCCATGGTGAAGGTGCTGTAGCAATGACGGCAGGTCAGACTACCCGGAAGCATGTCATGATCAGGAACAAAAGGGAAAGCTCCAGTGTGAACGGCTTGGTGTTCACGGCGCAAGTGCCCAATCAGAGCCTTCCGTCCAATGGTGTCAAGGCACAAGGGGCACTCGAACTGCTTGGGTGCTTCGGGGATCGGTCCTGTAGGCGGAAGGCCAAGCATCTGTTGGATCGTTCTGGACGTCTTCACTTTCTTGTGTACGTGGGCCGTTGATGCATGGTCCGGGTCAATCAGGATTGGGTCATGACGCTCTTGCATGTGCTGGTTCAGACCTGTGGCGGACAAGAAGGCCATATGGCAACGAGTGCATTTATGCAAACTGGAAAGACCGCTGATCTCAGGCTTGGAGCTTGATGCTGACGACTTAGGGACTGCACAAGAAGTCTCACTCGGTCGCTCGTCCTGTGATGCTGTGGTCATGGTCGGTCGGGACGACGGTCGTTCTTCCTCTGGCAGGTCTTCTGGCAAGGCTCGAAGCATGATGGGCATGACTGGGAAGTGAGACACATCATATGTCTGTCCTAGCATGACACTGATCCTTCCGCAGGTTCACCTACGGAAACCTTGTTACGACTTCTCCTTCCTCTAGTACCCCACATTGATGGCTCTGAACGTTATTGCTGGATTGTTCACACAGCATGCATTGACCCTTGCCGGATCCAAGTTGTGCCAATCCGTACACCTGTGCTCGATGAAGAGGCTCGTATTGCAGGAGCTGTGGATGGGCATCTTTGTAGTGTCTCCGAAGCGATCTTGCTGCAATGGCCGGCTGGCAGTATGCACAATGATTGGCTAGTTCACTCATGAGTGCTTTGTTGAGGATCAAACCAGGGATACTCTTGTATCTGAGATGCATGCGGAGATCAGGACGATCACAGATCGGCACGATGGTGTCCTTGGTCGGGTCGAACAACAAGCAAACTCTCTTATTGATGTGATCCCGCAATCGATAAAAATCTGTGAACTCTTTCAAACAATGTCTGCGCGTGGAATGGCCATTCAAAGCATCTCTCAATGGTAGAAAGAGATCTTCTGGAAGACATGGGATTTGGTGGTATTCCCTTAGATGTCGTTTATACGAACTGGCCTGGTTGAAGGCTCGAGCACATTCAGGGCATTGAAGTACAGGTTCCTGTGGCGAGTGCATGGAGTCCAGGTGTTGTGGAATGATATGCGCTTCAGGATACTCTGGGATCGAGACGCAAACATCTTCGACTGATGCAGCCATGGCCGAATTGCGGAGAAAATCCCGTCGGTGGTTCAAGGCTGTCGTGAGTCGTTGAAAATGCTGTTGCAGAGTGATCCATGGAGGCCTAAGTCCTATCGAGGAGAAGAACTCCGTGGTTGGAATTCGTGTGATATGGACTGGTGCATGAGCAACCGATCGATGATGATTATTTATCATTCCAATGATGGCCTGACTTCCTTTGGAGGTGACTCCCATCTCGAAAACCCCGTATAGCACTGTCGGAAGAACACATTGGTTATACAAACGGATTCTGATCTTGATGTCATGATGCCTATCAAGAAGCCACCTGCGGAGAATTCGAAAGCACGTTTGGGCTGCAGTGATCCGACGTCTGACCGTGTCTGCTTCCCATGCTCTGTAACTCACTATGGTGCCGAGGTATGAGGTTTTGCTCACGAGAGGAATCGTCAGGTTGGTATCTGGCAGGTGCAGTACAGGACCTGTTGTAGGTCTGCTGGTCCAACGGCGGAGAAACGAGTTCAGCGCACGGCCAACCATGCGAGTGAGAGCCACGCTCTTCTGTTGATTGATTCGAAGGCCATAAGCTCGAAACACCCTGATCAGGAAGGACATGTCATGCAATGCAGCGATGATCCAACAGAGGTGGATATCATCTGCATAGATTAGGATGTGATTAATGATCCAGGCATGATCGTACTGGGCCAAAAGATCATGAAGTATTAGATACATGCTAATGGTCCAGAAAAAGGGGGCATCTTTTGATCCCTGCTTTATGCCGCCTGAAGCCTGGAACATGCCAACCAATTCCTTATGAGAAATGCAGTACCGGTGTGGGGCCAACCACGAATGCACGAGGTTCTGCAGGTCTGTGGACATGTCGAAAACATGGAGTGCTCGAGAGACCATGGACATGCCATGGACCTACTTATAGTGCCAAAGGCCTTTTCCATATCTAACGAAATCTGCAAACCTCCCCACAGACCTTGCTTGGCTTGGTCTTTGCCATGAGCTCTGCACATATCTCTCACTGTGCGGCAATGATGGGAGATTGTCAGCAGACAATCTTTAGTTCCTCGGTGTGCCATGTACGCGTACAAGGGCATGGTTCTGAGGACTGGATATGTATGATGCTGCATCAACCGACAATGGAGTCCGGACATGACCTTATTCACTGGACGCTGAAGGCAAATAGGTCTAAGTGCTTCAGGTTTGTTTGGGGTTTTGTTAGGTTTGGGCAAGAGATGCAACCAGCCTGTCGACCATCTAGTGGGCGGAATGCATGGATCAGTGGTCCAGGCTTGACGAATGCATTCATAGATGATGGGTGTGAGCTGCGGTGCAAACTGCTTCCAAATCAGGGCCGGGAATCCGTCTGGGGCCAGTGCTTTGGTGATTGGGAGTCTTTCAAGTTCAAGCTGTACATCTTCCTCAGTGAACGGCAGTGTCTGCAGGGAAGGTGGGTGAGGAAGTGGAGGGTGAGCATCAGTGAACAATGTCTGGAAATAATCCACCAATCGAGCGAGTTCCTGGTCCTGTGACATTGGAGCTCCTTTTTGGTCGAACATCTGGATGCGTCGAAACTGTTGTTTGGGATACAGTGTTCTGACGCGTTTGTACCATTCATGCATCTGGTTTCGAAGTACAAACGGCACGCTTTCCTCAAGGAAGGTTTCAAGCCTATTCTTACGATTCATGCGACTTTGTTTACGAATGAGCTTATGAAGCTTATCAAATTGTGTGGCATGTTTCCAACTCGTAAACAGGGCAGTAAGGAGCTAACGGCGAGCAAACCACATCTGAGCGCTCATAGATCGTACCTGAGGACAAAGCGAACGGTCAACATGTTGTGTGGCAAAAGGTTGGACACAAAGGTCACGAACCTGTTGTTCAACTGACATGCAGGTGTCAAGTGCATTGGATGCAGTCTGATCGGTCACCTGGTCGAATAGGTTGTGCATCTTGTGTTCAAACAGTTGCCAGTTCTCGTTCTGGTGCTTGAAATCATGCCTCAATCGCTGACGGTCGATGTGAGCCTGCTTGGGAGTCCTTCGAGGTGGTGCAAACCATCTGGGCAGGGAAAGGGTCAGCGGATGATGATATGGTCCGTCATGGGGCATAGACCGTTCGAACCGTGTGAGTATCTTGGCATCATGTTTCCTGCCTTGATGCTAATGTGCCCGGATGAACATGAAGTCAATCCTAGATGAATGAGTGCCGTGTTGAAAGGTGGGATTCCATTTGCCCCGACAATGGGGTGCACAAAGATCAAAGTCATGGATAAGTCTTTGAAAGTCATGCTTGTCTGTCTGGGCAGCCAGACCGTATTTGGCATCTCTGGATTCGATGGCTGGTAGTGCAGCATTCAACGGGGTGTTACAATCACCTGCAATCAGGAGCATATGGTTCTTGGGTACATGTTGTATGGCATCCGTAAGGGATTTCCAAACCAAGGTTCGTTCTTGAAGGAGGATATTTCGGGGTTTGGTGGTGTTCCAAGCAACCTAATATATGTTGAAGACATCATGAACCCTAGTGAGATACAGTCTGATATGCTGCAGGCGGCCTGGAATCACATCTGCAAATGTCAACTGATCTGGTCGAAGGAGCGTGCTTCTAACCATGCACAAGGTGGAGGCTCGGCCGGCGGAGCTATGTATCATGTACCAACCAAGCGCACTTAAATCAAAACCAGCGTGTATGGCTGGGTGGAGCACCAAGAGAGCCATTCATCCAGCTGCAGGCTCTGAGATGCATTCCAGCAAAAGATCTGTAAGGCCTCGGATGTCGATTGCATGGAAAGCCCATGTTAGGGCTTGGTTGCAGGTCGATCACGGAGTTCAGGCATGATCAATTGCTTCAACCTGAAGGGGACCATCGAAGACCAGAGCTCTATACCCTTGTATTGGGCACAACCGTGGAGCAGTGATCTCTTGCATGCTCTGCGAAAACTTCTCTTGATGCGTTTGCATCTTGATGGGTTTTGAATATGGCCGGAGCCAACAAACGCCCATGCCTCGTTGAGTTTCGTGCCAGGCTGATTCTACTTGGAGGTAGTAGCATTGGCACTCACGAGGAGCCTATGACAACCCTCACGGCCAGACATGCTCGGTGCAGGGGCAAGGAAAATATCCGGCAAAGACATGTCCTCCGGACTTGGGACCGGAATTGCCAACTCGTTATAGTCAAGCAGTGGTGCAGCTTGGAGCGACCAGAAAAAGAAGATCGTCCTGACAATAAAAATCCACCAATACATATCTCACAGACCGCGGTTCCGACTCGTCATGAACGAAGAACCCAGGGGGAAATGGCTGCACGAGTCTAAGCTGGCAATGGCGCTTCCTATTTTATATTATATTATGTTATGTTATGTTATAATTGTGCATATCCCCGTAACTCCATAACTCCAAAAAAATTGGATACAATCACGATTTTTGTTCCGAGCTATTCCAAGAGAGGGCAAATCTGGCCTTTGGGTACTACGGGCTGCTGCCAAATATTTGAAATTTCTTTCTGGAAGAGCCGTCCCACAAAACTTGAAAAGCCAGTCAATTTTGGTTCCAGAAAAGCACATTGGGCTGCTGATGTATCCCTTTTACATCAGCAATAGCAACTGCCAATGTGCCCACTGGTGGGCTTGTAGTATAGGATCCGAGGGATCACCCATGGCGGGTGCAACAATCAAAGGCAACGTATAATGTTTTCTAAATCATTTACATCCCGACGTCATAGTCTTGTCCCATTGCTTTATGTATGTGTACACACAGGCTGTCACAAGATAGCACCCCCAAAAAAGCATATAGGCTCAAGATTTGACACACTTTCTGCTTACTACCCCTTGAGCCTGGCTACCCAAATCTAGGCTTACATATGTAGGTCCGCTCAAAAACCAAAAATACAGGCTTGAGCAGCTCTGGTAAGTGGGATCTCTTTTTATGCCTATTGGACGTCTGTGACTAATATGATTTATAATGCAATTTTGTGTTATTTAATGTCATATTGCATATCAATTCTTTGCTGATTTGTTTATTTCATCAGGACTTTGAGTGAGTTGGACGCTCAATTCCCATAGCCTCGCAGTTTTCCTATCGTAGACCGTAGAACAATAGTCTCTTTCAGTTGTTTCATGTGCCACATGATGAATGAGGAAATGAACTTGCGCAACACAGACGGTTCGCTCGATCATTGAACTCACACTCACCCCGAAATGGTTTGTCCTCAGAGAGGATTGTATAAAACTATAGAACAATTTGAGGATTTTTGTGTGCATTCGTTTGCATCTGAAGCTTGACATCGTGCCTCCTCGCGACATCTGGATCTTGAGCCACCTGCCAGAAATCAAGAGGAAGTGAGCTGGGGATTGAGAATCCTCCAACAATTCCAGCTGTAGGTTCTCTCCTGAAACGCTAGAACCCGCAATGACGACTCAGTGCGGAAGGAATGCAGAACAGGAGAGTTGTGAAAGCAGGATGTTGCAAATCGGTCCCCCCGAAACCCTCTGCAAGTTGAAGTTGGGCTACTTTCTACGATGGAGTCAAGTGCGACTTGTTCATGGCCTTGGACAGTTCGACTGTTGGTGTGCACCCTTTTTCCGCCAGTCCGCCACGCGTGTTGGATGGCGCTGCACTGCAATCTATGACAGCATTCGGCCGCTAGCGGCCCTTCTGTGTCCATGCGGCACAGCGGCTTGGGCGTCCGAAGTTCTAAAACGAGGCCACCGTCGCTCTCTGAAACGCGTGCCCCAAGAGTTCAGTAGATTCTGGACTCATACGATGCCCTCAAACCTACTAGCGATGGCCCCCAACCTAATGGCAAAAAGGAACCTAAGAGCGATGGCCTCTAGTCCAGAAGTTTTGCTTCTCCACTTCGAAAGGCCAGGCAATATCTACGGGCGTCTCAAATATGGGGCCGCAATGACTCTGGCAGTCTGGTTGATCTTGAGCAATTATTGAGGATTGATTCACATGAGAAATAGGCCCCTATTTTGAGAAGCCATAAGGGGCTTTGCTTCTGTGATTGAATTCAGGACTGCTCGTGGAACGAGCTCTAGTCGGGGAGGCGTCGTTTGCGACCAACATTCAGCATCTGTGAGCAGTCGAGCAACTCCGGGAAACTGCGAGGCACTACTCGCTCTGGGCCAAAACCAATTTTCACATACACCTACTAGCAGCTATGAAGCTGAGTATCTGTTGGTGTGTGAAGCTGAAAAATGCCGCAATACGTCCTGTGTTTCAATAATAGAAAAAGAAACCCATAAAAAGCCTCCCCAAGACCCTCTGGAAGAAGGAACGTTGGCATCGATTAAAACCCATTGATTGGGGTCTCGCTATTTTGATGCACATCCATTTCTGTGGCAGCACTCCCTCAAGATATCGTCACAACTACCGTTACCATTTTTGGTGAGACTGTTTCTCACAAAGAGAGCTTCTGTGACCATTTAGCATTGTCCTCAAGTCGATCGCTGTGACACCTCCGAGAAAGCTAAGACACGGGGCTCAGTAGCCGAAGGTTGTAAAGTTGCCGCCATACCTCAAGGATAGGGACGCTGATGCAAAGATAGAATATTAGAGCAACATGAGCAGTTCCTGAACAAGGACGCATCCGCAGTGAACACCTTACACAATCTTGCTAAGGAACCTAGATTGCAGGCCAAGGAGGTGCGAGTTTGGTAGCAGCAAGTGCCAGTCATGCAAGAAAGTGCAGCAACACATTCGATGTACAAGAAGGCACAAAGCAGAATCCTTCACCTAGTCCACTTGGCTCACTCAAAACATAATATTTACTACATACATACTTGCAGTATACACTACAGCTTAATCATCAACTAGAACCGGCGCCCAAACACTGCGATATGATGAGATCGTCAAACGTGAGTGTCCATTCCTGGGACCCAAATGGACCAAGACACGCCCCAGGTCCCGGGGGCTGCTTCTCCTGGCGAAGCCAACCAGCTATGAGTCCATCATATTATGTTATAAACATATAGCTGGAAAAGAGTGAAGAACAAAAGCCCGCCCGCATACCCACACTCCTTAGCAAAGGAATCATCCTACGTACCAGATTTGGTTTCCACATGCTTCCACAAGGTTTTGGAAGGCCAGAATGCTTCATGCAATCGAAATACACATCCACGACCTATTTGGTGATAAAAACAATTCCGCCAAAGGCTCCAGTGGCTAGCTGCACTCGGGTATGCGACGACCGCCTCTCTGGAAAGTATGCAAATGTGGGCTGCAGTCCACCTGAAGCCACACCCGATCCCGCCGGTGCAGACCGTCCTGCCAAAGCTTGGAGTTCTTCACCAGGTTTCGCCCTGCCGAGCCAAAGCTGAACTTGGGCGGCCGGTGGAAGGTCCTGAGCCCGGTGGAAGCCCGGATCGATCCCACAGGCGGAAGGAAGCTGACAGTCTTGTTGCACGTTCGGGCTCTGTTGAGCCAAAATTGGAGCGACGTGGCAAAGCGTGTCCGCGAGTGATTGTATACGCTGGTACGCTGGTACGCTGGCGGTGGTTGGTTGCACTGGTTATGGTTATGCTGTTTACGCTGTTTACACTGGATACGCCGGTCAGGGTTTCAACGGTGTAGAAGGTGTAACGGTGCAAAGGGTGTAAACGGTGTAAAGGGTAGTGTAGACGACGTAAACGGTGTAGACGGTGTACAACAAAATTGTGGACACTGATTGCGCCAGCAATGCGGAAGAGCTTTTGCAGCCAAAGTGCTTGGCGGCATTCTCAGAGGGTGATAGCTCATAGGTGCCTGGACCAGGCACATGATGCTTCACGTTGGCAGTCTCACGTGAGGTGAAGGACCACTTTGGTGCCTCCCAATGCACGTGAGGTCTGGATGCTGGTGACCCATGTGCCTTCGACCAGTGGTTTGGGGATGTTGGTGTGGCAGAAAGAGAATCTTACAGGCTGGTTGACTCACCATCCGATTTTTTCAGGTGGACTCTCAAGTTGGTAAAACATCTTGTCATCGAGTCATCTGGTGTCATGTAGCCAGGGTCCAATAATTGAACTAATTAGAAACGGTGATCACAGTGGATCAGATTCCAGTAACTTAAAGATTTGCAGGTCTCATGAGACTCCTTTGGCACACTGCACTCTTGTTCACAAGGGTTTGGCCAAGATCTCTCTTGCTTGTCGTGAGGAATCGAATCAAAAGAGCTACATAGACCCTTTGGGGCAGAGAGGAAGTCAAGGAATCTTCCCAATGGGTCTTACACCAACACGGGGAGCAAATGGGAGTGGGCAAGACGAAGAATGATTAGCATGTTAGGCTACGGCTAGGGGTTCAACACCTGCGTTGTACATGTCCGTCTGTTGTGAAAAGTGATTAATTACAAACCGTTGAACACTTGGGCTCATTCAACAGAAGCCGGCTCCTCACCTTCACATTGTGCGAGAGGCACATGACGTGTGGATGGACCACCATTGTTGACCGCTGCTGGAAGAAGGTGGACTCGGCGGCGGCCAGTGGGAGAGCGCCACAGGAGTTGCTACAAGGGATCTCTTGTTTCCCCGAATGTCAACCCTGCTATCTAAAGCCCTCGAGCTAATGAGAGCCCTTTTTGATTCTCTTGGCATCCGTGACTCCAAAACAGAAGGAGAGTGCAAGACAGTACAGAGTAATGTATACGCTGAAACATGTGAACACATCACACAACATATCTTCAACACATGCAATTGACAAATATCCATATGCTCCTACCCCGTGCGTCACCGAATTGCCTCGTGGCCCACAATCTACGACATCTTGAAAGGTGACTTGGACGTTGCTTGTGAAGTACTACATGCCATCCCACTTGCAGGAAGAGTTGTATCTCCACACATACCTGAACAAGGGCCTTCATCTATTGCAAGGGTCTTCTATTGTTATACCTCCAATTATGAAGAGCTAATCAGCACGGAAACGATGGTGCTTAGGAGACTGTGAATGCCTGGCAGTCTGATGGCAGTAATGCCTTGATGGATCTCTCATATTGTAATTATGGACACAAGAGCTCTTCTGGATGCCATTCATCCAGTTTCTCAACATCTCCATCTCCGAACTCCAAAAGGCTCCCACCATCCACGATTCGATCAACTGAGCCTCATTGACACCTAGAAAACCAAGTCGCTGCAGAGCTTCGGGTGCTCACCTCACCAGGGAACAAGTGTCGTTATTGGGGTCCTCCTGTTTCTGGGTTCGCGAACATCGCTCCGGTTGAACGGAATGGATGGGACTCGGATTTTGTTTGCAAGGAGGTGATTCAAGACAATGGTAAGGAAACCCAACAAACAAAAAACATACAACAACTACAGGCAGTACTTGACGGATCTTGACGGGATGGGAAGGACTTGGACAAAATGTGAAAGCCAATTGCTGCAATGTGAAAATCATCTTCTATCCCATGTTCTCCGCCCAAATTTTCCAACCTCGTTTTCCTTGCTCCACAAACGGGAACATTTCCAGGGCCTTGTGCATTCAGGGCTGCCAGGTCTTCAACAACAACACGGATGCTCGGGCGCCAGCTCGAGCCGGCGCCATGGATCCAAGTGGCTGACGGGTCGAAGTCTGGTCGACCCTCCTGGTGCAACTGCTGGAAAGCAGCCACCGCATTCGCCTGTGGAGTGCAAGGAATCTTTACAATGCCACTGGGTGACTGAGTGGAAGTGAAAATGCTGAGTGGGAGTGTGGAGCGGTTTTAACATGTTCGAACAACTTTTGCAGAACTTTGACACACTCTCTGCGTGCATCAGTGGTGGACGGGAACTGATGCAAAGCTTGCATGTTTGTGCCTAGGGACTGAAAGCCGGACCCACTTTTCTGACATTTTTGGACTCCACGACGCTCAGTCATGTCATCGCATGGTGTTGGGGGGGTGGGAGGGTGGGGTGCGGATCAAATTCCCCGCAGTGGAGCGTGTAATGCATAGTATCCCTGGATTCAACTCACAGTCCAACAAGGTTCACAAGAGCGAGTGGGCGAAGGCGATCGAGCAGCTGTTTTCACACGCACATACCTTGAGCCAAATATTGTGGCATGTCAATGCATTGCGTAAGAGCATATCGCAAGATACTGTAACCAAGTTGAAGCAATAGTGTAAACGGGGACCCAAAAACAGAAAACATGGGGGGGTGCTGTAATTTCGTTGTTTTCACATACGTCTCATGAGCACGAAGGCTCAAGACGTAGCCATGGTGTGCGTTTTAGTTTTGTTGTTTCGGTTGTCGGGTGTTCCTTGTCCTCCTCGTTTTTGTGTGTTCTTCCTTTGTGGTGCGTCAGCCCTTTTTCTTTAGACCAGTACGTAGACGGCTTAACTCGTGATTGTTCTGACCCTTGAGTTTCTTTTGTTCACGAAGCAGGTTTGGGTTCAGATCGTGGCTGGGTAAACTGGGAGCAGGTGTTAGAAACTCATTTTTCGTTGTTCACACTTTGGTGCAATGTGTGGTTGAGGTTTTCTTTTTCGAAAAACAGAAACTAAGTCCTTTTCTGTTGGTGACTGTTGGTGTTGAGTTGGCGTTTGTTGCGTAGTTGTAGCAGCTCCATGTCGGATGGGTGCGCCGCCGCTGATTTGCTCGACAATGGCATCGATGAAAAAGACCTGCGCACGGAGCCTGCCTGGGGACAGCTAGTTACACAAAAAGCAGGCAACTTGAGGTGCCGTGCGAAGGACGTTTTTTATTTAGGCAAAATGCATGACAAAGCACTGCGTTTACCAATGAATTTGACATGAGAACCTGCAAAAGAGGGTACGGTTTCCAATCCGTACGGATGTTTGTGGATATGGTGCATAAACCCACTGGGCCACTTCCTTCAGTGTGTACGCTTCATAGAGCAGTAGACTTTACCTTCAAGACAAACCCTTCTCCATCACCACTGTTGGAGCAAACATGTGCCAGTTTCCTATTGTGGGAAGATGAACAGGCATACCCAACTAAACCGAACGAGACACATGTCCCACACGTGCTCTATCATCCTAGGACTCTGTCAAGCAATAACAGTGTCCTCCTTCTCAATGTTTTCATCATGAGACTTCTTGCGACCCACCTGTGTTGGTTCTGCCCTCCCTGGTAGCACCAAAAAAATCCAAAAAAGAAAACAGCGCTGCCTTCGCCTTTGTTGTCATTGGCTCACTAGGATGGCAAGAATTAGACACGACGTCAATAGACCCTGGTCTTTCCTTGGCATTTTCTCGAGAACCTGTGTGGGCCAATGCCAATCACATTGTTGGAGGCATCTCAATATCCCAAGAGCTATGTGCTTGGCAGTCCCAAGTGTTCCTATCTCCATTAGGCTCAAATCCTTCTTGGCCAAACATGCAACAACTGATTATGAGGTAAATGATATGTGCTTGCCATGGCGTAATACTGTCCATACTGTCTTTTTTCATTGTCCTAAGCCCCCCAAGCTTCGCTTGTACATAACCATGGGGTGTTTCTTTTTCTTCCCTTGAGCGAAGATTGCAATTTGGCTGTGCGGTCACACTGATGACCGGGCGGGGGTAGGCCGTTAGAGGTAGGTCCAGGTAGGTCCAGGTAGGTAGGTAGCCAGTAGAAGGCCACAAGGAAGCTACTACTTAGGATGCAGGATAGCTCACGCTCGGACTATTCATTTGGTTCCTAGATTTTTCAGGAAACTTAACTATATCTGGGGTGCTTGGTATTCTTTGGAATGATCGATTGCCAGGTTTATTCTGCTAGACGCTTGCGCCATCTTCTGACTGACGGATCAGAACGGCCTGTCTGTGCACTCGACTGATGTACAACACCTTCGTTCTTCCACTTTCTTTGCGAACAACCCAAAAAAACAAAACACACACCACAAACCACATACATAGTAAGAAACAAATCAATCCACCAAGCGGTCCACCGAGGGCGGAGCCTTGGAGACCTTCGCCGGTCGCAGCCGCATGAAGTACCTAGTGGGAGCAAAGAAGGAAAAGAAAACTTCGGACTCTAGCGAACCTGCTCCTAGTACTCCTAGTAGCGTTCTTGCCCCTAGTAACTTCGGACACTAGTAGAATTCTTGCTCCGTTCGTAGCGATGCCAGGAGCCTCTAGTAGCGTCCTTGCTCCTAGTAGCGACGCCCTTTGCTCCTAGTAGCCTTCTTGCTCCTAGTAGCGATGCCCTTTGCTCCTAGTAGCGTTCTTGCTCCTAGTAGCGATGCTCTGTGCTCCTGGTAGCGTTCTTGCTCCTAGTAGCG